CTACATTACACCCGTACCACCAAAAGACGGATTATACCCAAGACTTGAGTCATAAATAAGTATACTAATAGCATCACTGGTTGCATCATTGCTAACTTACTGTCCATCGGTTAAAATGGGTAATATGTCAGATGTATGTTATTTACCTTCTGGTGTAGACGAGAAAAAATCTGAGAATTAGAGGCTGTAGAAAAGCAGATCCGTGACCTTCTAAAGAAACAAGCTGAGCTGAGAGACCGGCGTTTAGCTCTTGAAACATCACGCGCTGATGCAAACGGATCAATGATTAGTAACCCGCTGACGCTGACCACATCTACTCCGTGCGTTTCTCAGCATTGGTCCCGAGCGTCCAGGTCCCGCTCAGCCATGGTTTCATTCACTCTGGCTCCAACACACCACCACGAAGCCTGGGTGGTTCTGCGGAAGCCGCGAGCCAGGACAAGAATTTTTTCGCCGCCTCCGGTTTTCGAGATCTCCACCCAGAACCGCTTCTCCCCTCTTCGTGAAACGGAACGTAATGCTGTGATCATCGGCGATTCCACCGTCCAGCACGTCCATGCTACGTTGGGCAAAAGTAAGGTGCACAGTCATTGCTTTCCTGGTGCTCGTGTTCTCTATCACTGCGCGGGTAACTGAAATTTTGAACGGTGAGAAGCGCGTCGGAGCTGTTGTGCTGCACGCGGGATCTAACGACACAAGGTTTCGACAGACGGAGGTTCTGAAGAAAGACTTCACGCACCTTATCGATACGGTATGCAGCGCATCGCCTGAAACATCGATTATAGTGTCTGGACTGCTTCCTACGTACCGACTAGGGCATGAAAAGTTCAGTAGATTATTCGCGCTAAATGAATGGTTATCATCGTCATGGTGCACTGATCAGAAACTGCTCTTTGTATATAATTGGAATCTGTTTTGGGAACGACCGAGGCTCTTCCGCGCTGATGGCTTACATCCTAGTAAAATCGGGGCAGATCTTCTGTCGGATAACATCACCAAAATATTAAATACCGTTTGACTAGTAACCAAAAATCCAAATCACACTCTCTACTGCACCAATTTAATTGATATTAAAGTCCCCGTGAAATCAAAATTGAACCTATTTACTTTGTTAGCGCATATTACTAGTCTTGTGGTGAACAATTAATCCGTGCAAGTGAATATATATTAAAAAAATGTTTTACCTTAGTAATCTTTAATCAAAATCTGAAAAGTTACTTCCGGTCTGGAACGGTTTCTTTTTCTGATGACGTAGGTTTCACAGTTTGGGTACGCGTAACCACTCCCCTCAAACCGTTAGTTTGCTATGAGCGAGAGATGGAGAGGAGGAGCGCTAGAGTAAAACCCTGCCCTCTGTTCAATATTCCGTTTCACTTGGAAATACGTCACAGCACTGGAGAAAAATCGTTTGCAACTTCCGGTTCACGGGGACTTTAATACTAGTGTAGAACATTGCATAGAAACTGTGTCTATCCCTCATTTACTGAGATCAAATAATGAATCTACCGTGGGATCAAGAAAAAATCTTGTAGTTATTCAAACAAAAAATCTTGCTTTTAGTGAACAAAAACAATTTCTAAAGCTAGTTCTTCTAAACATTAGATCACAGAACATCGAAATTATTATCTGTGACCATTTCATTTACAATAACCGCTTTAGGTGTGAGCGATACTGACACCTTACTGAAACCTGGCTTAAACCAAGTGATTATTTCAGTCTAAATGAGTCTACTCCGCCAGGACACTGTTATAAACATGAGCCCCGTCTGACCGGTCGTGGCGGCGGTGTCGCAACAATCTACGGAGATATCCTTAATGTTACTCAGAAAACTTGTCATAGGTTTAATTCGTTTGAAGTACTTGTGCTAAATGTTATGCTGCTAGATGTAAGGAAAAAATCCCTATTATCTCTAGCATTGGCTACCGTATATAGACCTCCAGGGCCTTACGCCGACTTCTTAAAAGAGTTTGCAGACTTTCTATCAGATCTATTGGTCAGTGTTGATAAAGCAATAATTGTTGGAGATTTTAACATACACGTAGATAATTCAAATGATGCGTAAGGGGTTGCGTTCACAGATTTATTAAACTCCTTCGGGGTCAAGCAAAACGTCACCGGACCAACTCATCGTCTTAATCATACACTCGATTTAATTATATCATATGGAACCGATCCAACCGATATAGATATCATTCCACAAAGTGACGATGTCACTGACCATTACATGGTTACCTGCATATTACATACTGCTGTAATATGTCATGCGGCGCCACATTATCGACCAGGTAGAACAGTTCTTCCATCCACCATAGATCATTTCTCAAATAGCTTATCTGATCTGACTCAGCTCAGCTCAGTGAACCCAAACAAACAGATGAACTAGATGAACTAACTAGCACTATGACCTCCATTCTCTCTAGAACATTGAATATTGTTACATTAGATTAAAAAAGGTCAGAGAAAAAAGTATAGCACCATGGTACAATAATACTACGCATGTTTTAAAGAGAGAAACCCGAAATTTAGAGCGTAAATGGAAAAAAACTAATTTAGAGGTCTTTAGAATTGCCTGGAAAGACAGTATATCACATTATAAAAAGGCTCTTAAAATGGCCAGGGCTGAGCACCTCAGCAAACTAATAGAAAATAACCAAAATAATCCAAGGTTTTTATTTAACACGTGGCTAGACTAACAAATAAACAGACGATACCTGAACAAAATATCCCGTTACAGTTTAGTAGTAATGATTTCATGAACTTCACCGAGAAAATTGAAAGCAACAGAATCGCAATCGTAAACTCTCAATCTTTGCTCGCGCCTTATAATTCAGCCGCAATTATCATGCCGCAAGAACAATTACAATGCTTTACAACCATAGAACAAAAAGAGTTAAATAAACTTATCACTTCATCTAAAACAACATGTTTATTAGATCCTATACCATCTAAACTATTGAAAGAAGTGTTGCCTATCGTGGAAGAGCCTCTTCTTAATATTATTAACTCATCTTTATCTTTAGGTCATGTTCCTAGAACGTTCAAGCTGGCAGTTATAAAACCTCGTATTAAGAAACCGCAATTAGATCCACATAACCTAGCAAATTACAGACCCATCTCAAATCTTCCATTTATGTCAAAAATATTAGAAAAAGTTGTGTCCCCTCAACTGGGCTCTTTCCTGCAAGAAAACAACATCTATGAAAAGTTTCAGTCTGGATTCAGGCCGCATCATAGCACTGAAACTCCGCTTGTTAGAATCACAAATGATCTACTTATAGCTTCGGACCAAAGCTGTATCTCAATACTAGTTTTACTTGATCTTACCGCTGCGTTCGATACTATAGATCACACAATACTCCTAGATCGACTACAGAACTACACTGGTGTTCAAGGACAAGCATTAACCTGGTTCAGGTCATACTTATCTGACCGCTACCATTTCGTCTGTTTAAATGGAGAAAAATCGATCATAACTTTAGCAAACTATGGAGTGCCGCAGGGATCTGTATTAGGCCCTCTATTATTCTCAATATATATGCTGCCACTTGGTAATATTATAAGGAAACATGGAATTAGTTTCCATTGTTATGCTGATGACACTCAAATATATATTTCATCACGGCCAGATGAATACGCTAAATTATCCAAATTGACAGATTGTGTTAAAGATATAAAAGATTGGATGACGCGTAATTTTATTTTATTAAATCCAGATAAGACAGAGGTAATACTTATTGGTTCTAAAAACCATCCACAAAACCTTTCGCAGCACGACTTTAACATATTAGGATGCCCTGTTACTTTATCTGCTACAGTAAAAGACCTGGGTGTTATATTAGACTGCAACCTGTCTTTACAAAAACAGCCTTTTTCCACCTTAGAATCATTGCTAAGTTACGTAACATGCTATCTGTCTCTGATGCAGAAAAGTTAGTTCATGCATTCATGACCTCGAGACTAGATTACTGTAATGCTTCAGTTAGTAAAGCTACAGTTAGTCCAAAATGCAGAGTTCTTACTAGGTCAAGAAAATATGATCATATAACACCGATTTTATCATCACTTCATTGGTTACCTATAAAGTTCCGTATTAATTACAAGGTATTGCTTTTGACTTATAAAGCTCTAAATGGTTTAGCTCCAGTCTATTTAACGGATCTTCTATCGCCCTACAATCCATCGCGCTCTTTAAGATCACTAAATTCGAGGCTTCTGGTCATTCCTAGGATATCCAGATCCACCAAAGAAGGGAGAGCATTTTCACATTTAGCTCCGAAGCTCTGGAATAGCCTTCCTGATATTGTTCGTTGCTCAGACTCGCTCTCCCAGTTTAAAACTAGACTAAAGACGCATCTATTTAGCCAGGCATTCATATAATTTTTTTTATCTTACAGTTACTGTAAATTTGGCCTCTAGTTCATAAACGCCAGAGGAGAACTTGCCCCCGACTGAGTCTGGGTTCTCCCAAGGTTTATTTTTCTCCATTGGGCCTTCTGATGGAGTTTTAGGACACCATCGGGTCACTTGTTGGAGTTTTTTGGTTCCTTGCCACTGTTGCCTTTGGCTTGCTCAGTTGGGTATATTCAAATTAAATGACCCATCATACCATTGATCAGCTCTACCAATCTTGATTGTCTTTTTCATGAATAAACAAACACTGTGATGTTGTCTTGATTGATACTGTGAAGCAGCTTTGATACAATCTGTATTGTGAAAAGCGCTATATAAATATATTTGACTTGACTTGACTTGACATGAAAATATCTGAAGGAAATGTCTATTTGCTAAGCCAACTAATTTGTTTCATGTTCTTTTTCTGCAAAATCTGTAAAAAAATAAAATAAAACCAAATCTGCAGGTTGGCTCTGTCTTTTGGCAGCTAGCATTGATGCATCCAGACTGCAAACCATGCAGAAGTCTGGGAAAAACTGTGTTGTGTATTACAGTCCTCACTGATTCCAGCCTTTGAGATATATTTATAACATATATTTCTTAAATAGATATTTTGATATACCAATGGAAATTCTGCCAAAAGTGAGAAGTTCTTCAGAGATTTATGGTTTGATGGTAAGTGTTTGACACCAACGAGATAATTTGTTTTCTTTTCTTGTGTTACATAATGCGTGATTTAATTATCACACTCCTTTAAAGTGTGTCCTACTCAGTGTGAAATAAAATATTTATTTGCATGCTGTGCAAGAGAGAAATGATCTTTGCTCCAGAGCATTGCTTGTCAAACAGCAACTGTTTCCCTTTGTACTTTAACTGTACATACACAAAATCCACAAGCTCGAAAAATGGTTTCCATCCAAATTTGAACTTTGCTTTGGAGCAGTCATTTCACCCTTTGGATAGTTTAGTATCTCCTTCTTTATCATGATTATATTTTGTTCTGTGATCTCTTTGGGCTGACTGATAGAAAATCAGCTTTAATCTGGTGAGTATTTCTCTAGCTGTCTACACGGTGTCATGTCTGAGACAACTTTGTTGTGTCCTGTCATAATAGTAGTTTGTGCATTTCCAATATGGCACAAACATGTTTTTCCTATTGGCTATAAATGCAATTTATACGTTGCAGGGGTCTTATTGGAAATGTACCGGATTTTGATCTTGTCATTGTTTTCCCACTGTGTTTTGGCTTGATGCTGGGTGCACTGCTTTTCCTTCCCAACTGCTCCTTTCTCATTTTTGTCCAATTTAGAAACTTTTTCATTAAATGTTTTGGTTGTGATCTTCTTTATTGTTACAGCCTTTTTTCACTCTTTATTCTTTTTCTACCTTTTCTATGGCTTAGGATGCACCATCTTAAGTTGCAGTAATGAAAACGATGCTGCTCAATTACTTAGTTTTCATCACATACTTGTGTTACTGTTTCCTCTGTGTGCTTTTACCAATTTGTGGGATATATCTAGAGAAGAAACTTTACAACACACAGCAGATGATTTTGACATGCCAAAATGCTCTAAAAGTAGACTATAATTTTTTAACCTAGCTCAAGTGTTTGAGTTTTGGCATTAATCAGGGTGTGCTGTAATGCATGTTAATTATTAAATTAACAGTATATTACTGTATTAAATTCTTCCCCTGTTGTTTTCATTTTTAATATTCTATTTTTTTTTTCTTACAGAAATCTGGCCCTTTAACTGGTGTCCCCATATCAGGGGTAAGATTATTATCAGAACAATAACTTTCTTTCTGTCTTCCTCTTATTTAGCCAATAGCCAATGTCTCTTAAAATCCTTTCTGTAGTCCTTTAAAGTCACTTTGAATCCATTTACAGTGTCTTGGTGACCAGTCTGCTGCTCTGGTTGGACAGATGTGCTTCAAAGATGGACAGGCCAAAAATACGTATGACTTAGTTTTGTTAATCTGTCTTTTATGTTTCATATGCAGCAGACTCACTGATCACTAATGTGTCAACATGCAAAAATGTTTGAGATTGAATGATGTTATTTTTGATTTTATATTTTCTCACATTATGTAAATGTTATGGTTTTATATTTACAGTTATGGGACTGGTTGTTTCCTTCTTAAGAATGTTGGAACAAAGGTATTCAGTTTACATATAGCTTTTAAAATGCATTCTTTGTGTTTTTTTTTTTTTTTTTTTTCATTTAATCTGCCTGTTTTATTTATTTATTTATTTTCTGAAGCCTGTAATGTCGGACCATGGACTTCTGACAACAGTCGCATATAAACTAGGGCGTGACAAGCCAGCCTACTACGCACTAGAGGTAATTTCTTTAAATGATAACGATCCAATACCAATGCATTTTTTTTCGTGATCATTGTAGAATATCTATACATCCATGTGAAACTGATAATCAGTCTAATGTGTTAAACACAGTATACCCACTATATGCACAGTAGTTCATTATAGAGAAAGAAAACACATGATAAAAAATATATAATTGTAATCTATTGCAAAAATAAATTATTAACTTAGTGTGTGGATCATTCAGCAGCAAAAGTATTTATTGAAAATGCACAATCATAATCTAAACTTTTAGTAGAAACAAAAACTGGTGGATTTAAGTGTAGTGCTAAATCTGATAAATTGTTAATAAAAACAGAATTTTTATTATTTAAAGAACTTTATAGTAATTTCTACAAATTTTTTTGATGAATGCAAAGATGTTTATTTTAATTTTATTGAACCGCTTTTCAATGAGGTGACAAGAAATGATAGGTATGACCGAACATTACAGGCTATATTATAATAGTCAAGTCAAATATATTTATATAGCGCTTTTCACAATACAGATTGTATCAAACTGCTTCACAGTATCAATCAAAACAACTTAACAGTGTTTGTTTATTACTGGAAAAAAGACATCCAAGTTTGGTAGAGCTGATCAATGGTATGATGGGTTATTTAAATTCAATATCCCCAACTGAGCAAGCCAAAGGCAACAGTGGCAAGGAACCGAAAAAACTCCATCAAGTGACCCGATGGTGTCCTAAAACTCCATCAGATGACCCAATGGAGAAAAAAAAACCTTGTGAGAACCCAGGCTCAGTCGGGGGCCAGTTCTCCCCAGGCCAAATTTACAGTAACTGTAAGATAAAAAATGTATATGAATGCCTGGCTAAATAGATGCGTCTTTAGTCTAGTTTTAAACTGGGAGAGCGAGTCTGATATCAGGAAGGCTATTCCAGAGCTTCTGGGCTAAATGTGAAAATACTCTCCCTCCTTTGGTGGATCTGGATATCCTAGGAATGACGAGAAGCCTCGAATTTAGTGATCTTAAAGAGCGCGATGGATTGTAGGGCGATAGAAGATCCGTTAAATAGACTGGAGCTAAACCATTTAGAGCTTTATAAGTCAAAAGCAATACCTTGTAATTAATTCGGAACTTTATAGGTAACCAATGAAGTGATGATAGAATCGGTGTTATGATCACATTTTCTTGATCTAGTAAGAACTCATTTTGTGCTAACTGTAGCTTGTTTATTGAGGATGCAGGACAACCGGCTAATAAAAGCATTACAGTAATCTAGTCTTGAGGTCATGAATGCATGAACTAACTTTTCTGCATCAGAGACAGATAGCATGTTACGTAGCTTAGCAATGTTTCTAAGATGGAAAAAGGCTGTTTTTGCAATATATGAAATATGCTTTTCAAAAGACAGGTTGCAGTCTAATATAACACACAGGTCTTTTTACTGTAGCAGATAAAGTAACAGGGCATCCTAATATGTTAAAGTCGTGCTGCGAAAGGTTTTGTGGATGGTTTTTAGAACCGATAAGTATTACCTCCGTCTTGTCTGGATTTAATAAAAGAAAATTACGCGTCATCCAATCTTTTATATCTTTAACACAATCTGTCAATTTGGATAATTTAGCGTATTCATCTGGCCGTGATGAAATATATAATTGAGTGTCATCAGCATAACAATGGAAACTAATTCCATGTTTCCTTATAATATTACCAAGTGGCAGCATATATTGAGAATAATAAAGGGCCTAATACAGATCCCTGCGGCAGTGCGGCACTCCATAGTTTGCCGAAGTTATGATCGATTTTTCTCCATTTAAGCAGACGAAATGGTAGCGGTCAGATAAGTATGACCTGAACCAGGTTAATGCTTGTCCTTGAACACCAGTGTAATTGTGTAGTCGATCTAAGAGTATTGTGTGATCTATAGTAACGAACGCAGCGGTAAGATCAAGTAAAACTAGTATTGAGATACAGCTTTGGTCCGAAGCTATAAGTAGATCATTTGTGATTCTAACAAGCTGAGTTTCAGTGCTATGATGCGGCCTGAATCCAGACTGAAACTTTTCATAGATGTTGTTTTCTTGCAGGAAAGAGCCGAGTTGAGCGGACACAACTTTTTCTAATATTTTTGACATAAATGGAAGATTTGAGATGGGTCTGTAATTTGCAAGGTTATGTGGATCTAATTGCGGTTTCTTAATACAAGGTTTTATAACTGCCAGCTTGAACGTTCTAGGAACATGACCTAAAGTATAGGATCTAATAAACATGTTGAGGTTTTAGATGAAGTGATAAGTTTATTTAACTCTTTTTGTTCTATGGTTGTAAAGCATTGTAATTGTTCTTGCGGCGTGATAATTGCGGCTGAATTATAAGGCGCGAGCAAAGATTGAGAGTTTACGATTGCGATTCTGTTGCTTTCAATTGTCTCGATGAAGAAGTTCATGAAATCATTACTACTAAACTGTAACGGGATATTTTGTTCAGGTATCGTCTGTTTATTTGTTAGTCTAGCCACGTGTTAAATAAAAACCTTGGATAATTTTGGTTATTTTCTATTAGTTTGCTGAGGTGCTCAGCCCTGGCCAGTTTAAGGGCCTTTTTATAACGTGATATACTGTCTTTCCACGCGATTCTAAAGACCTCTAAATTAGTTTTTTTTCCATTTACGCTCTAAATTTCGGGTTTCTCTCTTTAAAACATGCGTAGTATTATTGTACCATGGTGTTATACTTTTTTCTTTGACCTTTTTTAATCTAATGTAACAATATCCAATGTTCTAGAGAGAATGGAGGTCATAGTGCTAGTTAGTTCATCTAGTTCATCTGTTTGTTTGGGTTCACTGAGCTGCTGAGTCAGATCAGATAAGCTATTTGAGAAATGATCTATGGTGGATGGAAGAATTGTTCTACCTGGTCGATAACGTGGCGCAGCATGACATATTACAGCAGTATGTAATCTGCAAGTAAATGGTCAGTGACATCGTCACTTTGTGGAATGATACAGAGTTAATACTAAAACTATCATGATATGAAAGGCTCCGGTACAGAGTTGCACAAATCGCTTTTGGTATTTGTGCAACTCCGGGTGCAGAATGATGCGCTGCAGGAAGGAACATGAATTCACAGTTAGAATCGCTCCTAGTTTAGGGTACAAAGAGAAGAGATATTGTGTGTACAGCTCCTAGTATATTTATCCAACAGTTTATTGAGCCTTTTTTCTTCAGTTTTAAATTTCAGTTACTGTGCGCATGATGCTAATGCATAGTCCTCTGACCGCTCTACTCCAGTGTTGTGATATAACAGACGCAGAGTACTGCATCATTTAGAAACCGCAATAATCTCCAGCAAGAGTCCTCTTATGCACACAGACCTTCATAGCAGCATCTGAGCTGATGCCGATATGATCAGCTTTTTTCCCCATACTGGAATGCTAAATCTTTGAGCAAAAGGAATTGGATTAAATATTTAAATGCTACCGATCCACAATCTGATTTCTGACTTGTGATGCAGCCTGAATCATATTCACTCCATATTCATTTGTTCGTTAATTCGTTCATTCGCCAGGAGAGACCTTGTCCGTCCGTCTGAGCCTGGTTTGTCCCAAAGCTTTTTTTCTCTTTTCTGTCACCTGATGGAGTTTTGGTTCCTTGCCACTGTCGCCTCTGGCTTGCTTAGTTGGGGACACTAATATTCAACAATATTATTGATCTGATTGTAGTTACTCTGTTGTATGAGAACTAAGCTTGACAACGACATTACTGTTTTCCTGCAGAACTGCTTTATGGATAAAATGAACCCATTTAATAATTGATGATCTTTACAATGGAGCTGAATCAACCCTGAACTGACTTCAGCTGAACAATGACACTATTTTCTTTTTGAGGTGCTGTACAGCTGAAATGAACAGTTTGCATCATTTTTTTCCCCTGTTATCCCTGTAAAGCTGCTTTGAAACAATCTGTATTATAAAGCGCTATATAAATAAAGGTGACTAGACTTGATCAATACTGGATATCGGGTCGTTGCATCCCTATTGTTTACATATTAGAACTGGCAGCTTTTTCAAAACCACCTCTAAAAAGATTTTTTAAAAATCTATTAATTTCTCACTCTCACTTTGTAATTTAAATTGATATAGCCAATATTTTAACCTTATTCATCTGCAATGCTTTTTATAGGGTTCTGTTGCCATTGCAGGAGCAGTTGTGCGTTGGCTAAAGGATAACCTTGGAATTATACAGACCTCTTCAGAACTTGGTGTGTTTTTCTAGAAATTAGATTTATACCCAATATAAAAGCATTCAACCCAGTTTTGGAATATTTCAGTATAAACACTTATAAAAACTTTTCACATTAGAAAAATTAGCTGCTGATGTTGGCACATCATACGGCTGTTACTTTGTCCCTGCGTTCTCTGGATTATATGCGCCATACTGGGAACCAAGTGCCAGAGGGTAAGTAACTGATCCGTTCATTTAAAAGATCATTTTCGGCTGATCTCTGTAAGTGACATAAAAACATCTATAGCCTGAGTCCAATAAAAGCATAAGGCACTATATTTAAATTATACATTTAAATCTTATTGCACATTTTATCACGTGAGAATACTTGTGATATTAATGCATTTTCTTTCTTTCTTTTAAGTCCAGTTTCAGTGCTGTGTTATTACATATGAAATGAGTACAACATTGAAACCTCTGCCTCTTGCTTACAACAGAATCATCTGTGGTCTAACACAGTTCACCAATAGGAGTCATTTGGCTTTTGCAGCACTCGAAGCTGTCTGCTTCCAGACACGAGAGGTATCTTCCATGAATTGGCTTGGGTCTGCGTAATTGAATGTCCTAATTAAAATAATTTCTGAAAGATGAATATTAACCGAAGCGTTTCTGTGGTAAAATAATTTCAACCGAAAACTTAATTTGATGTTCATTTGAATAACTGATTAACATCCTACAAAAACAGTTTTTATAAAGGATGCTAAAATTTGTTTCAGATTCTGGATGCAATGAACCTGGACAGTGGTATTCATCTGGCTCAGCTCCAGGTTGATGGAGGCATGACATCCAACCGGTTACTGATGCAGCTGCAGGCCGACATACTGTGTATCCCAGTTGGTAAGATACACATTCTCATACAAAGGGTCTGAAAAAGTGCATCACTTTTTGAAAGGATGAAGTGATATGTGATGTAAATTGTATTTATTTACAGTAAAACCATCCATGCCTGAAACCACAGCTCTGGGTGCTGCCATGGCAGCAGGAGCAGCTGAGGGGGTCAGTGTGTGGAGCCTGAACCCAGAAGATCTCACAGAGGTCACTTCAGAAAAATTTGAACCTCAGATCAACCCAGAAGGTAAAGGAATCTAAAATCCAACACCCTACAGCTCATAATTATTGTAAATTGTATGTACAATATATACTTTTTGCATTAAATTAATTGTTTATTTAATTTGTACCCAGAGCCGAGTACAGTTCTTAAGTACAATTTTGAGGGATCTGTACTTTACTCGAGTATCATTTTTGGGGAGTGCTCATGACTTTACTCAAGTACTTTTGAGAGGGAAATATTGTACTCTTTACTCCACTATATTTCTATCCATAACTGTGAGTACCCGTTGCTACTTCTAAAAAAAAAAAGAAAAAAAAAAGAGGAAAAAAGAAAAATCTCGGAAACAATGAAGACTCAATTTGTTGTTTCCCTCTCAAATATGATTGGATTGTGCAGGCGCCGGTGATTTGGACAGCCTATCAGCAATCACCTTCAGTTTTTCGCCAAAGTCAACTCCATGGTCAGATTTAGATAAGAGACGAAACCATGAACGAAACAATGGATAAAGCAGGTCCATCCCGTGAATGTGCCAACCCATGGCCCCACCTCGCCATACTATTTCAATTTTCTGAACTTTCTTAAATGTTAAATAAAGCAACATATGAAAAAGACTTGATTTTACTTTTTTACTTTTTTTAAGCTATTAACATTAAATGGATACTCCACTTTTTTGGAAATAAGCTCATTTTACAACTTAAAGCTGAAGTCGGCAAGTCTGGCAGCTTGAGTGGACTTTAAAATTTTAAATGTTTACAAGTCTCATGCCCCTCCCCACTATCAACGAATCCCCCCCACAGAGTTTGTGCTCATCAGTGCATGTGCACCAGCTTTTCTGTGAACGCGCCCGTCTCATCAGCATCCATCAACATTCTTCCAAAAAGCCGAACTTTTTTTCTTCATCTGGACATGTTTATACACCTAACGTTACGTTCACACAGATTTCAGTGCAAACAAAGCTAACGAACCTGCCCAACAAGTGCTAACATAGCTATCCATATCAACACATTTGGGCAAACATGGGCTACTAAGATTACTAACGTAACACTAAGACATAAAGCACAATATTGATAAAGCACAATTACCTGTCAAGAAGAAATGTTGCAAGCTCTTGATCCAGCTTGAACCCAATTAAATCTCCACCTTTCTAAATGCCGATCCAATTGTAACTTGCGTGAGGGGTGGCGTGTGCACGACCTGTGATTGAAAGTCAGATCTCACACCCCCCTGCGCTGATTGGACCTGATGAACCGGGAGCGGTGGATTTTTGTAAAACAAATAATACGCTCCAGGTGGAGTTAGAAGCTTGAGTTTTTGTCTAAAACCACTTTATTTATGTTGTTTTGTCGGATTATAGCGTCATTTTCACTGAATATGATCAAAAAATGTTGCCGACTGCAGCTTTAAACAGTTGAGTTTTACCATTTTCGAATCCATTCAGCCGATTTTCTGATATTTAGAAGAATATCAGTAACTAGACAGTTTCTGCTCCCATTGATAGAAGTTAATGGGACCAGAAACTGTCTAGGTACTGATATTCTTCTAAATATGAGAAAATCATCTGAATGGATTCGAAAACGGTAAAGCTCAACTGTTTAACTATGAGGGAGATGTAAAATGATTACCAAAAAAAGTGGATTATCCCTTTAACATTTTTCATAACTCCATGTAGGACGTTTCTGTCCATAAATGTAAGCACTGTGGCAGTAGTAATGCAATATTTAGAAAATGTACTCTTGGTACTCAAGTACTTTTTAAAACAAGTACTTTAGTGCTTTTACTTAAGTAGAAATCTGACTGTAGTATTTTTACTTGTACTTGAGTAAAATTTAGCAAGGGGAATCGGTACTTTTACTCAAGTTATGAAGCTGTGTACTCTGTCCGCCTCTGTTTGTAACCTTGTTCAATGTAATACTGACAGACTTTTGGAACATTCCAGGCCATAACATTGTGTTGTAATGTGTGTAATAACTAACTGTTGATTAGCACTCTAGTTATAGATGAAACTTTATTTTTTTATACACGCAGAGAGTGAACTGCGATATGCTCGCTGGAAGAAAGCTGTACAGAGGGCTATGAACTGGGAAACCACTGAGCCAGTCAACAATGGAAATGGTGAGTGTGTCTGTGTGTCTGTGAGTTTTCCCTTTCTTTTTTTGACTCGATTGTAAATTTGATCATTTAACTAATCAAAGAAACACTCTGCAAATACAAGTAATTCAGTAATTACATAATATATCTAAAAGATAAAAAAAAATGGAAAATTATCTGATCTCTTTTGCTCAAATTATTTCGATGTTTTTTGTTTTTTTTCCAAAAGGAAAAATACACACCAAAAATACAACCAGGCTGACAAAAGTAGTCAAAGATTGATTTAGGGTTTGTAGTAATGAATAACCTATTGACCCAGAATGTCCAAAGTCAGGGAGAATCAATGTTCAGAACTTTGCAGCAACACAAAGCTTGTTTGTTATTTGTTTTTATTAAGGGTCAAAGTCTTCCTTCTGGTGATCTACTTTTCTGCAAAGTTATTGATTACCTGGTTCAGTTAGAACTAAACTCTCCAGTAAAGCAAACCTCCAGGAGAAGTGACTAGTTTTTCGGTTTCACAAAATCAGTAGTTACTTAATTGTCCCACTTTTTTCTTTTTCTTTTCACTGTCTTGCATAACATGGACCTGTGTTCTGGACAACCAACAGAGGAGACTAGTATCTTCAGTAGTGTACCCTTGGGCTTTTACATTCTGGGTAGCATGTTTATGTTAATTGGAGCAAAGTACATTGCAGGTCAGTGTGAGAGCGAGTGAGTGTGTGGGAGTGGCTGCGAGATGGTGAAAGAGATAAAATACATGTTTTTGTATGTGTCCTTCTGCTTGAAGTCCATCAGTCCGAGAGAGAGCGGTGAACATGAGCATACTCACATGGCAACATTTCAGAATAACCACCACACATTGGTTCTCTTTAAAGGGTTAGTTCCCCCCAAAATGAAAATTCTGTCCGTATTTACTCACCCTCATGTTGTTCCAAAACTGTGTTTATTTGTTCTGCTGAACACAAAGGAAGATATTTGGAAGAATGTTTTAATCAAACAGATCTCATTCCCCATTGACTACCATAGTATGGTTCTCAATGGGGAATGAGATCTGTTTGATTAAAACATTCTTCCAAATATCTTCCTTTGTGTATAGCAGAACAAATAGACACATAGAGGTTTGGAACAACATGAGGGTGAGTAAATACTGACAGAATTTTCATTTTTGGGTGAACTAACCCTTTAAATGATGGAAGTAGATGTCTTGTTTGAATGAATGTGTAGTATGAATGAATGTCATGGACTAGCATTTCAATTCATGTGGGTCTGTAAGGAGGAAATTATAGAACAGGTCCTTTGTGATGAGATGTACTCATGGCAGCCGGAAAATAATCATTCCACCGTTCTCATGAGGTGTAATAATCATTCCACATTCTTATTTTTTGAATAATTGGAGTGAGAGTGCCATGTTACTGATGGCTGTAAATATGTACCGGTAGTTTGGTTTGGTGAATTTGATGATGGAAAAAAGGTACCTGCTCTAGGAATCTCCCTGTCTGCCCCAAATGTACTTTTACTGTCACTATTACTTCTTCACAGTCTCCGGTCATCCCTGTCACGTGTCACACTATCTTCAATATTACCAAGCATGCTGAAAAACGTATACACATTCTGCTCATTGGTTAAGCAAAACAGTTTCTGCTGTTCTAATACTCTCTCTCTCTCTCTCTCTCTCTCTCTCTCTCTCACACACACACACACACACACACACACTAAAGCAGGGCAGAAGTAAAACTGAACACTTCCACATCTCAGAAGATAGGAGACAAAGTCAGAAGAACAAAAGAGGGTCCGTGGCTTGTCCCCGTCTAAAGACATTCCAACTGAAATAGAGGTTGTTAATGTTTCCTTCAGACATAGAGCCTCCGAATTATACATGAAGACTTTTCTGGCTTTGTAGCAGAAAGTTTTATTGAACATATTTGATATGATGACATATTACTGTAGTCTGCCCACACTGTTCACTAGAAGGACGATGCTATGGCTCAGTGTTTCTAGCATTTTGTCTGTACAGTAAATTCTATTGGAATTTTCATTGATGGGTAGCAGCTCTCAGTTGTGCTAATCAATCTTTTTCAAATTTTATTTTTTTAATGGCACCAACAGTCATAGAAGTGTGTGTCTGCATGGTTGTGACATTTATTTTTGAAGTTTGAAAGAGCAAGATATAATATTAATTTAGTTACTTATGAAACCCATTCAGGAGAGCGTTTTAGTGCACTTTATAATGAATAATGTATTATGAGGTTATGTGTATAAACAGCAAGGGAACCATACAATCTCATGTAAATAATGTGACTTCTTTCCTCTTTTACTATTTCATGTGCATTTGTCTGTTGGAAAAGTTTGTCATATTGTTGAGAATTTTTACCATTATGAGAGACCATTAAAAAAGGATGTCACTTAAGCAATGTTGAGTCAATATCGAAATAATTACTGACAAGATTTGTGAATAATTATATTTAAACAAACATGCTGTGTTAAATTTTTTGTCATGTCACTGAAATTGTGCATGTTAATATCATTACTGTGCCGCTCAAAGAAGTTATGATGAAGGATGTTAACAGATCAAAATCATTTTATAGTAAGAATTTCCTTTGAGTTCAAATTAGAAAATTTAAAAAGGAAATATTTGGCACTTGATTTTCTCTCATACTTGACATCTGTGTAATAAAATCTCATAAGATCTACGACAATGACAAATTTTGTAGGGGGAAACAATTATGAAATATGTGCCAAATTCTAATACAACTGCCAATTTAATAGTTTTGTTTTGATGCATTAGTTTGTTTTAAAGAACAAATCTGTTAGCATTTTTAAAATGTACTCTGAAAGGTACTTCCTGCATCCCTGATTACTTGAAATCCACTATAACAAAAAATGTTTAATAAAAGAGTTGCCAGTATTAAATGTCAGTTATTTATTTCCTTCACTGTATGTGACTTTGATTGTTAAACATTTTCAAAAAGTAACATTTGGGTTGTGTATGCATATGGTTTAGTGATGATGTTTAGTGCATCTTTCATTAAAAGTTGTGACATTCATTAAATCCCATGTACCTCACCTGCTGCATCTTGCATTTCAGTTCTTTCCACCCAACTTGAAGTAAATTTCAAATAAAATCAATTTCTGCAAATTATAGAAAGTTATGGGCCTTTTCCTTTTTGGCTGTAAAGCTGTTGATTCTGGAACATGCATACATAATCTAATCTCATCTAATGCTGTTTTTTTTTAACATGGTCGATGGGTTTGGCCATGTGTCCACAAACTTATATGCAGCAGTGTCTGTGAAAAAAAAAGAAAAAAAACTGGGGTCAAAGTGCATTCTTATATGAGACTCAGAAGGGACTCAAACAGAATCTCTTTCATGGCACACAAGCTGTAGCACAACAAATTGTTAAAAAATTTTACCAGCATGTTCCACGACTCACTGCTATTGTTTTCAATGATGAACAAACAAAAGGCAAAAGCTTTGTTTAAAAAAAAAAATGTTGCGAGGCTACAGGATGTATTGGTAGATTTAATATGATGTTTCTTGTTTCTCACAGTATGACAGCCTTATCCTTCAAGGGTCAGGTTTTGGTGCAAACAAAGCTTTCCGTTTTTATTCTATGGCTGTGGTTAATGGCAAGTGATTTCATGCAAAATCTCTAACTAAAAGAATTAACCATGCATTTCAAACCAAACCGGGGTCTGTAGCATTAATACGATCATTTGTAGATTCAGGTAATGGGCTAGGAGAGGGACATGGCTTTACTGATGAAAACAACTAGTAAAAATAACATCAGGGACATTTTTTTTCATAATAATTACATCAGGGACATTCACAAAAAAATGTATTTTTTTTCACTGAGCCAAATAGATGGGAAATGGATTAAAAGAAAACTATTGGATTGGCATTTTAATAGTAAAAATTAAATATATAGAATTTCAAATTAAAAGGAAATTGCTTTACATTGATAAAGTAATCCAAATAAATTAATCTAAACCACATTTATAATGGGTAAACTTATAACAGTGAGCAATTACATTTCCAAAGTAACCTTCCTAACCCTGACGGTAGGCTAGTTGTAACACACTTGTTTTAAATACTTCCACATGCTAGCATGACGAAACTTGGTGTATTTACTACTTGCCATTTCAACACTATACAGAGAAAAATTTGCACCAAAATTCAGAGATCTTTGTAAGATATCACTGAACATTTAACCACAGAAAAAGTACATTTCCTTCATTTCTATTTTTTTATGTTTAATTAAAATCAGACAAATCTTATTTTATTTTTTTAATCTCTAATACAGTTGATATAGTCTTTTAATGCTTTGCCAACTAGCAGAAGACACTACAAGGTTTAAACCCCAGTTGTGCAGTTGGGGCATGTTGTCACACTGCGTTACATTGTGCCCCTATTAGAAATATGCTATTATATTCTATACTTTTATGAATTCTATTGAGAAAATTATTAATTATTATTTTGTTTTGAACTATGCTGTATAGTTGCGCTTTCCTGTGTGTTGTCAAAATGAAAAATTAGATTATTTTTAATTATTAAAAAAATACCATTATTTTATATGAAAAAGTTAATAATTTTGGTTTGACTTGTATATTTTTTTTGATTAGGTGACATAGCATTTTAAGCTGCCAAGCTGTCATTTTAAGCTTGGGTTCTAGCATCAGTGACAGGTGAAGTACAGACAGCGGGTTGTTCATGTATTGCAGGGCCAGGATGCTCTTGTAGTCATGCAGCTGCACTTTTGTTGAAGGTCAGTAAAATAAGGATAATTAAGGCCACGGAAATGTATTATTGCATTGTGAAATTGTTAATTAATGAATAAATCTACTAAACTAAAATGTTTACTGTGTGTCATTTGTGTTCTGCATATGTTGCTGCACAGTAGCCTTCACTTCAAATTTTTAGTCTAAGATTGTTGGATAATAAAATTGAATTCAATTTAGGTTGAGAATGCAGTCAGGCAGGGCAAGACAGGGATGGCATGCACTGATGTGCAAAGGAAGTGGAATTCTGGTGTGAAGAAGAATGTAGGAATGAGGAAGGTGAAGGATATTAATTTTAACCATCACAGACCATACCATGTATATCCAGGCCCATCAGAAAGTTCAGTGCGAGAATCAACAATCTCCCCCAAACTTTTTAAGAACCACAGAGAGTTCATAACACACAGCAATTCATCAGTGATGGCCCCACTGTTTCAGCTCCAGACAAATGGGCTTCTTCAGTTAAGTTACAGAACAGATGTAGACAGCAGCAAGGCAGGCCCCAGCAAACATGATCCAGCCAACAGTAATACACTCTGTCATACTGAACACAGCACAACACTAACCTGTCCAAAGTGCACAGAGTTTTATGAGGCCTACATTAAAGTGTCCCCTGCACAAGCAGCTATACTGATGGAAGAAACCAGGATGCAAAGTGCTTCATAGTTATGGCAGGATGCTAGAAAGCTGCGTCTAACAGCCAGCACAGCAAAACGAAGCACCACCACAGATAAATGAGCATCTGTACCCAAACTTCACTGAAACCCCTTCCCATGTAGACAAAATAGTACAGGCCTTAGATAAGGCATACTGCTGCACTATTATTTCTGAAAAGCTACAACAAAAGTTTCCCTAAAAAACATTACAATAAAATGCACAGAGTAAATCCAATCTCTAGAGCAAACCCCCTCCCATATAGACAAGTACAGGCCTTAGATAACTCACTGCACCATTATTTTTGAAAAACTACAATAACATTTTCCTAAAAAATATTTCAATAAAATAGACAAGCTAAGTGAACCAAATAGCTTATAAATGAGGATGGATTACATTCGGGCAAGACGCGCACATTGATTGCGCACATGGTTTTGATTGCCCGCACACACATTGTTTGATTACAGCTCCGTTATTTCTGAAAAGCTATAATAAAATAATTTGACTAAAAAACTATACAATATATATTAGACAATATATTATTCAGTAATATATCATTCATACTTACTCCTCAAATGGATCGAGTCCATGGAATATTTGATCTTCTTCCTCCGAATCAAATCGCTCTGGTAAAATCGATCCAATTTTACTCACATCACTGTCGGCAAAAAGCTTTTCAGCAACTTGCTCGTTGTGGCAGGTTTTCTTTGAAAAGAATCTTGCAAAGTGCAAATAAGCTGTATCTGATCTGGCAATACAGCAACACAGCATGGCAAAGAAAATGAGATCAACGTCAACACACTCATGGAGAGCAGAGGGCATACTATGGATAAGAGAGGCCTGGTTGTGCACCCTGACCATCCTTGGTTAGGAGCCAGCCCAGATGGGATCCTTGATTCATTGCAACTCCTTGAGATCACGTGCCCCTTCAAGAGATCCATGTCACTGGCAGAATTTCTGGGATGGCCAAATGGTGACATCAAAATAGTAGGCGATTGACAGTACCAGGTGATTTTTTTTTTTAAAGTAGCTTTATTATCAGACTAACATTGTATTTTAAACTTGTGAATTAATTGTTCAGATTCTTTTTACAAACATCTCTTAATCCTCCTTTTCTGACACAACTGACCATGATGTGTCTGGGCCTTCAGAGCTGCAAGCTGGTCATCTGGGGCCTTATGTGTATGTACCCGCCCTGCAGGCTAAACTACTAGCAGTCTAGTATACTTCAGCTCTTCTGGTTGAGCTGCACTATTTTGGGAGTCACACTCACACAACCGGCCTTGCCGCTTGTTCTTCGCCTACATGCTTATGTACTACACAATCACTGGCTTGCTCTGCTGGCTTTCATTTTCACACGTATATTTCCGTTCATAAGGGTCCCCTGGGATCCCCTCCCCCCGGGACTCATTCAGTGGATGCTTAGTGCGCGCGGCGTTGACCATGTGTTCCCGTAGCGTAAGCTAGCTTACGCAATACGAGAGAACCTCTCGTAAGAGAACGAATCGGTTACCTAACATAACCTCGGTTTTCTCTAGATGAGGGAACGAGTATTGCGTTCCCGGCCGTGCTTGCGCTTCTAGCGTTCTCGCTTCATTCATAAAAAAAAAAAACAGTTAAACAGCAGGAGAGCTCGCAAATTTATACACTCGAGCCACGCCCTTTTTGGCGGGCTTTGACGCAATGAGAGCGTGTCATCTTCTCATTGGCCGCGAGTTCAGCCGAGTTCTTCCATAGGCTGTAGCAGTTCTCCCTGAGCGAACCACTGAGCTGCTAGCTAGCCTGCTCACGGTCGGTTGCAGTCGAACTGCGTTGACAATGGATACAAATTATAGGATAATTTTTTGGCTTCAACTTCTCAGAAAAGATTAATCTTTCCCGTAGCGTAAGCTAGCTTACGCAATACTCGTTCCTTCATCTAGAGAGAACCGAGGTTACATTAGGTAACCGATTAGTTTTTTTACGAATACTTATTTCGAAAAAATATTTGTATTCGGGAATAAGAACAACTTTATATCAAAAAGTTGCGTTTCCTCTTGAGACCGCAGTGTGTGAGTGACGTTCAGGAAGAGGTGACAGACAGGCTGCTTCACACCGCAACAGAGAGGGCTCGGCTGAGCGAAAAAACACTTAACTGCATCACTGTTTTTGTTGAATAGATTTTTGTACCTTAACTGGGTTCCGGAGGCAGTTTATAACTTTCGGGAAGTGGAGTTTGTTTGATCGAGAGATCATTCCATTACGCTGCATTATAGTAGGGAGGTTAAGCCCAAAAAATAGGCCTTTGACTTCAAGTCAGCATGCAAAGGTCGCCTTTGGTATGGAAGTACCTTAGGGTCATACAAATAAATTTATCCTAAGACACAAGTGAGATCACACTTTGTATCAGAAATAAACATGTTTTTTTTTTTCAAAAATGGCCGCCAATGCACTGAAAATACTCTAGAGCCCATATCTTTCCTTCTGTTATCGCTATAATGACAAATTTAGTGTCAAAGTGTACATTTTTGGGGTCAAGGGATCCAATGAAATTGGTTTCAATTTAAAAAAAAAAAATCCCCATACCATGACAATTGGGGGTAAATATGCACATTTCACATAAAAATTGTGTCATCAGAGTGACTTTACTTATCTTTTCATTCAAAAACTTTAATTTTGTATTTAAGCAGTGCAGCTACTTATGTACATTACTGTACATTTGTCCTAAGTAGCATGAGATTTCAACCAGTCAGGAGTAGCCTATAGCAAATCAGTTCCTGCAACAACACATCCCATCTGCACCAGGAGCTGTGACAGCTGTTGAAGGTCAGAGGTGACAGGTTATCACTTTAAGGTTCATACGACTTTCTTGTTAAATAGAAAAATGTTTTTAATGTTAGATAACTAATAACTCAGACTGATCTCATGAAGTAGCGTGTGTATGACACACCAATTCGTATTTCCATTTTTGGCGTGCTATCAACACGCATAATCGCTTTTCAGCGTGTTTATGAACGCCGTTGACTTAACGTTATTATATATAAATATATGACTTACCTCAACCCCGTCCCTAAACCTAACCGTCACTGGGGTTAATGGCATTTATGACTGTTCCCTTACCATCCTAGGAAAGAAACACATAGCTCCCCAGATGTAGATGTACATTTTGATTTGTTTTGCTCGGACATTTGACGGCGTGTACAGACACGGTGAACGACGCGGACGTTAATGGAGTAGACATACACGTGGATACACGCGGATAGCTCAAAATGCGTCGAGATAACACGCCACTTGACTCGAAATTGGTGTGTATGTTTACGCAAAAGTCATGATGTCATGTTGAATAACTAGCTAGATAGTTGACTATGGAAAAAAAAAAAAACCTTAGAGGGAAAAAAACAACCTTAGAGGGAAAACCTCTTCTCGAGAATACTGAAGGCAAAAATGATCCTTATAATTTGTATTAATTTTAATTAATGGCCTTAAGGTACTTCCATACCAAAGGGGACCTTTGCATCATGCCTTGAAGTCAAAAGTCGCTTAACCTCTCTACTACAGGGTGGATCTGTGTTGAAACGCTGCTGTCAATCAACAATCGTGGGAGGGACGTCCGACTGTGTGATGTTACACGGTCGAACGGCTCGATTTGAGACGGGAAAATATGTACGGAGATTAAAAAAAAAAAAAAAAAACACTGGATGGATTTTATCATTATATGATGGTTGTGTACAGGCACTGCCAACACACATTTCAGTACAATCAACTTGTAAAAGTGCATGTATCATTATAACCCCTTAAAGGTGGATGATGACGCATTTTCTTCTAAAAACAAACTTTGTTGTATTATTTTCATGTTATCACTGTTGCTTTACTTTGATACAATCTGTATTGTAAAATGTGCTATATAAATAAAGGTGACTTGACTTGATTCTGTTTTTGCCACATTAGCTAATTAGCTTAAATGACTTCAGCTAACACACATTGTGGGTTGTGAGAATGTAATAAAGAAAGAGAAAGACATTGTGAAACCAGGCTGATGGTCTTTTTTTGCTGCATTTCTCGGAGATGGACATCTTACTAATATGCTTCACTGACAAAGTTTTTCTGCAAAACAAATCATCAGAATAATAATAATAATAATAAAAACGTGTGAAGCCTTTTAATTGTATAATCTGAAACATAACATTGCAAAAATAAATATACATATGAACAGTGTAAAGGAAAAGGAAAAAGACCAGAATCAAAGCAATGAATCAAAACGAGAACATTATATTAGTCAAACAATTGGGGAAAAAACATCAACTGAAAGTGCAACCTTAAAAATCTCTGCATTTAACTTTTTAGACAGACTGGGCACCATTATGTCTAACATTTTTGCTGCTGACTTCCAAAGGGCCGTAGTTCAATTGGTTCCATGACGTCTAACTCCTATCTGCTGATTATTCTGCTGCAGTCCTAACAGTGATGTTGGACAACAGAGATGGCTGTTGTTGCCAGTGTGCTAGAAAGGACAGCACACATGATTTGACGATAATCATTGTATAAAGTGATGTAAAGAGCACACAGAGTATGTAAGAATGTGGTACATTTTAAAAAAGACATGCTGATCTATCTATAGTGGTGGCTAGCATTTACGTCACAAAAATATTTTTACACATCTCTAGGGCAAAAAGATGAAAACGTAATAAAAAAGATTTTTTTTTTTTTGTGTGTGTGTGTACAAAAAAGGTTAGCACTTGCTTCAGCATTACTTACAATTGGAACTATCTTCTTAGGTTTCTTTAGATGATTAAGCCTGTAACATGGCCAAGTCTCAGAACTAGTATGTGGTTTGGTGGACCTAGATCAAACCTGCACCTCTCATTTTTAAGTGAGTATGAAAGCCTGGGCCTCATTGCTCATTCTCTGCGACTTTAGTGTTGGTAAAGCTAGCCAGATCTTCCAGTGTTTCCTGCGCTGTTTGTTTAAGAGCCGGGTGGCGGCTTGAAGCTAGATGGTGGATGCGATTGAGTGGGAAGGAGCTGAGAAAATCATTGGTCATGTGTGACATGACATCTCTCTCTAACAGTAAAGACTGAAGGAGCCTCAATGACTGCAGACACACTTCTGGGTCAGGGTCTGTGGGAGAGGGAGAGAGTGTGTTTCTTTGTTTGTCATGGGGTTAGAGAGACATCTGTAATTCACTACACCAGGGATTCCCAAATTTTTTTGTCAGCTTGAACCACTTAGACGCAAAATACACAATATGGACAAAAGTATTAGGATACCTCACCTTTAGACCACCATTAATGTGTTTTGCAGCTATAACAGCTTCCACTCTTTTGGAAAAGCTTTCCACAAGATTTTAAGCCCGGAACACACCAAGCCGGCGTTCGGCCATCTGGCAGATTTTGTGCGTCAGCCAACTAAGTTTCCTCGGTGTGATACGCACGGTTCCGTCCCGTTCGCTGAAAATAGTCCTCGTCGGCTTTGTTTCGCCCGATTCGACATGTTGAATCGGCATCGGGGAAAGAGATAACTCTGATTGGCTGTTCCGCTTAGTGAAAGAGTGCACGAGAATAAAAGCAAAACAGCAAGCAAAGAAGTCAAAACGGTAAAGATAGAAGGCTGTTCTTTATGTTACGTATTCTTACCTGAGTGTTCCTTGGCGAATATTTCAATATTAACATGAGCGGAGTGGAATAAAGAAAGTGTTTAGCAGGATTGATATTCAAAACGGTAAGCATGCGCTGCTTTGTTTACGTTATGTGTATCTGCAGCCAGCATGCAGCGTCGGTTTTCCTTTTTGAATGACGAATATAGACTAATATATCTGCACAAATAGACAGTTGGCTCATTAAACGCAGGCGCAGAACACACATTATAGCTGACAGTTGTAGTTTTCTCGGTGTGTTCAAATGCAGCTTTTTACCTTGACGAGAGGCGACAACAGAGTCGGCTTTTATCAGCGCTAGTTCGTTGGCGTCGGCTTGGTGTGTTCCAGGCTTTAGAGCGTTTCTGTAGGAATTTTTACCCATTCATTTGTGAGGTAAGGGATTGATGTTGGACAAGAAGGCCTAGTTTATAATTTCCGTTCCAGTTCCCATTCAGGGAACTTCGAGCTGCGTGTAAACGCCGTGGGAACGCCTCTGCGTGACGAGTCATGAAGCACGTATGAAATCTGTCCAATGGCGAGACGGAACGTCATAGGCGGGGTGACGTATCGACCAGGAAACTATAAAGCATCCCCGAAACACAAGCGCAACAGCTTCTGAGTCTTCACAAGCGCTCTATGTATGAATTTTGTCTGTCTGTCTAATATTGTATATTTATATATATTGATATGGCGAGCAAACAACAGCAGAATTTCAGAAAGTGTGTTCATCCCTGCCCTCGCTTCATCACGGGTGGGGATACACACGATCTGTGTGTTGTTTGTTTGGGAGTGCAGCATGCTCAGTCGGCTCTCGAGGGGGCCGGCTGTGAGCACTGCGAGTGTCTGCCCATGAAGACACTTCGCTCCCGCCGGGCACTCTTCGAGGAGAGTGGTTCGGTGCGCGCTCCCCGCGGCTCGGGTCCCGCTGCTGCCGAGGCACAGCGAAGGCTTGCGTCGTGGGGATCGCAGATGGATCTATCAGCGGGGATTGAGACGGGCCCCGCCCTTTCTCTGCCCTTACCTGGTAGATCCAGTGCCTCAGTTCTCGCTGCGGGGGTCCGCGTTGCGGTTTTCCTGCCCGGGCTGAGGCGCCATCACTTCAATTATCCAGTTCTGAGGAGCTGGATGTTGAAAGTGTGGATGCAGAGTCTATGGACTCAGTGGAGAGCGAGGGAAGCTCGTTTGCCATCCCAGTCTCCCGCGAATGTAGTTAAAAAAAAAAAAAAAAAAAAAAAAAAAAAATGGAGGTTTTTGACTCGGGCTGTGGAAAAATTAACCATTGAATGGCCAGTTGAGAAACAAGAGTCGAGAGAGTAAAATGGATGAGAGATTTTTAATATCACACTCACTACCTCCATGCCGGTGTTTGCCCTTCTTCCCCGATCTACACACCGAGGTGTGTAGATCGTGGAACAAACCAGTGTCAGCTAGAATTTTGACACACCAGACCTCTATGTATGCTAATATTGCTGGGTCTAGGAGATATGAGTGAGGGGGAGGTCGTCGGCACTGACGTGATTAATGAGATACTGCGTCAGGCGGCAGATATTTCTCTCCGTGCCACCAAGGAGACGGCCAGATCAGTCGGCCGCTCTATGGCAGCCCTGGTGGCCACGGAGAGGCATCTGTGGCTAATATGAAGGAGAAAGATAAAGCGTTTCTCCTGGATGCGCCGCTGTCGACCGAAAAAAACAGGCAGCGGCGCTCCAGAAATGTCTCCCCCTCCGTACTCATCCTTCGGGGGCTGCTGGGCGAGAGCAGCCCCGCCCGTCGAGAGAGCGTCGCGTCTCGGGCTCCTCCCCAGCAAAACTGGGCTGAGACGCGGCGTTCTCAGGCGAGGTCTTCCCGGGATAGAACCGATCTGAGGACGGTTATTGTCGCCAGGAAGGCTTCGTCGAAGAAGTCCTGACGCCACTGGTGTCAGGCTACTGAGGGTGGTCCCCACCGTGAGACAGAGGTGTTCGCCGCTGAATCCGGCGCCCGCTCTCTCTCGGTGCCCTCAGGGGTTCGTTCTGCCAACCCTGCCTGTAATGGGGGGTGCAGACGGTCCCAGCGAGCGATTTCCCGAGGGACGCTCGTTTGCTCCGAGGAGCGATACAGAACGGTCGTTAAACCCTGCCTGTGCGCGGTCACAGGGCGCTGTTTCTGTTTTTAAAAACTACTCCAGAGGCCAGTCTCGAGAGACTGGTACCCTTAGTAGAATTTCTGGTAGAATGGGGAAGTCTTCCAAATATATCTCGTTGGGTCCTGCAGACTATCGAACGCGGGTACGCGATCCAGTTCAGGTCGCGTCCACCTCGTTTCCGGGGGGTTTTGCCCACAGTGGTGACCCCCGAGCAGGCTCTGGTTATGGAACAAGAAGTGAAAGCTCTGCTACTGAAGGGGCGATAGAACGAGTTCTTCCTCCCGACAGAGAGCTGGGGTATTACAGCCGGTACTTCATTGTTCCAAAGAAGGATGGGCGGCTGCGTCCGATTTTAGACCTGCGCCTCTTAAATCGGTCAGTAGGGAAGCTCAAGTTCTAAATGCTGACTCTCAAGCAGATCGTGTCACAGATCAGGTCCGAGGACTGGTTTGTCACGATAGACCTAAAAAAAGACGCGTACTTCCATATCTCCATCCTTCCGCAACATCGGAAGTTCCTGAGGTTCGCTTTTTGGGGCGAAGCGTACCAATATCGGGTCCTTCCATTCGGCCTAGCGTTATCTCCTCGAACCTTCACGAAATGCATGGACGCGGCCTTGGCCCGCTGCGTCTCCAGGGCATTCGCATTTTAAATTACATCGACGATTGGTTGATTCTGGCTCAATCGGAGCATCAGGCGATTCGGCATCGAGATGCCGTCCTCGCCCACATCAGAAGGTTGGGGTTGAGACTCAACGCTAAGAAGAGTGTGCTTTCGCCAGTTCAGCGGACCACTTTTCTAGGCGTGGTATGGGATTCGACGACGATGCAGGCACGTCTGTCGCCGGCTTGTATAGCCTCGATTATCTCGACTGTCAAGCAAGTGAAGCTAGGCCAGTCACTCACTGTAAAGGAATTCCAGAGAATTCTGGGTCTGATGGCAGCAGCATCCAACGTGTTACCGTGCGGCCTGCTGTACATGAGACCACTACAGTGGTGGCTCAGGACCAAGGGGTTCTCCCCGAGGGGAAAGCCGCTCCGCAAGATCAAGGTCACGCGACGTGGTCTCCGTGCCCTGGCTATGTGGAAAGAACCTTGGTTCCTGTCCCTGGGACCTGCGCTGGGAGCCCCGTGTCGCCGGGTAACGGTGACGACGGATGCCTCTCTCACGGGCTGGGGAGCGATCATGAGTGGTCGCTCGGCCCGCGGGTTGTGGCAAGACCATCATCTCCGATGGCATATAAATTGTCTAGAGATGATGGCGGTGTTTCAGGCTCTGAAACACTTTCTCCCAGACCTCAGAGATCATCATGTTCTTGTCCGGTCAGACAACATGTCTGTGGTCTCTTACATAAACCACCAGGGGGGTCTGCAGGGACCCGTTCTGCTGAACCTGCCTGTGAGGGTGGGCGCAGACGGTCCTAGCGAGTGGTTTCCCGAGGGAAGCTCGTTTGCTCCGAGGAGCGATACAGAACAGTCGTTAAACCCTGCCTGTGCGCGGTCACAGGGCACTGTTTCTGTCTCTATAATTACTCCAGAGGCCAGTCTCGAGAGACTGGTACCCTTAGTGGAATTTCTGGCAGAATGGGAAAGTCTTCCAAATATATCTCGATGGGTCCTGCAGACTATCGAACGCGGGTACGCGATCCAGTTCAGGTCACGTCCGCCTCGTTTTCGGGGGATTTTGCCTACAGTGGTATCCCCCGAGCAGGCTCTGGTCATGGAACAAGAGGTGAAAGCTCTGTTACTGAAGGGGGCGATAGAACGAGTTCTTCCCCCCGACAGAGAGTTGGGGTATTACAGCCGTTACTTCATTGTTCCAAAGAAGCTAACGATATACGCCTCCCTCACGGGCTGGGGGCGATCATGAGTGGTCGCTCAGCCCGGGGTCTGTGGACTTTCTCCCAGACCTGAGGGGTCACCATGTTCTTGTCCGGTCAGACAGCACATCGGGGGTCTTTTTATAGACCATCAAGGGGGTCTGCGCTCATGTCCATTATTCAGGCTAGCGCCAGATCCTTCTGTGGGCCCAGGGGAAGCTTCTTCTTTGGCGATTATATATCCCAGGATATTTAAATCGGGGAGCAGACATCCTGTCGAGGCAGGGGCCGAGGCCCGGGGAGTGGAGACTCCACCCCGAGGTGGTGGAGCTCCTATGGAGTCATTTCGGTCATACCGAGGTAGGCCTATTTGAATCCAGGGACTGAGACACTGCATGCTGTGGTTTCTCTGTATCCACCAGCCCCTCTGGGGTTGGATGCGATGGTACAGGAGTGGCCGAGGTCACCCCTGTACGCATTTCCCCCGATTGCTCTGCTCCCAGGAGTTCTGGAGAGGGTTCACCGAGTCGGGGTCTTTC